TCTAAGAAAATTACAGTAGCATAGTGCTATTCTAAGTAGACTACCATAAAATTTTCATGGCGTTTGGATAAGTAAAATAGTCTACACAAAAATGACAAGGCATGGCAGGATTATGAACATGAAAATACTTTGTACTGTGAAAAGTGTCAAACAACAGAATTAGTATTTTTCCTATGTTCTTCATAGCATACAATGACTGTACAAAATTTATCACATGCATGTTTTATACAAAGTTTGCTCTCTAACAAAAATAACAAAAATTAGCCATTAAAGGCACTTGAACTACACCTCAAAATTTTCCCACAGCACATGCATGAAACCTATTTTTCCTAGGAAGTACATGACATAAGAAGATTAACAAACTTGAAATCATATTTTTCTGAAGCCTATATATTTTTCTACATATTTTTCAAGTTATCAGCAATATTCATGATTAAATAAAATTCTACAGCAAAGTATCTCTAAAATGACATGCAATAATTTTCCCAAGTAGATCTGCTGATAAGGAACCTAGCAAAATTTGTTTCAACAAATTTGGAGCAACTTTGAGTACCCAAACATTTTTCAAACCATTTCAAATTTCAAATAATAAGAATAAATGACAAACAATTCATTTAAACGATCTCAATAGCCATTGAAATAAGCTGGCCCACGGCCGTTTTCTGCTCAAGCGCCTGAGCGCAAGGGAGGGAAGATGGCCCAAGAGAGGTCGTTACCATCGCCGCTTCGCCCTTCTTTGCTTACTGGGTCGGTTGAGGCGTAGTGCTCGCCGGCAGCTATACTTGCGCTGCGCAAGCGCGGCTTCGGCCACGAGGCCGGCCGGCCATCTCCGCCACGGCAGGTGAGCTGGCGGCGAAAGCGGGATGCGCGAGAAGAAGGCGAAAAGTGAGGGATAGCTAGGCGGGCCGAGAAGAGAAGGAAGTCGACTTCCATGGCGGCCGAGCACCAGGCGGCGCCATGGCCGCTCGCGGGCGGCTTCGGGAGGCTCAACTCGAGCTCGGAAGCCGCGCATAAGCGCGAGCGTGACTTGAAGGAGGGCGAGGCGGAGCTGCGGCGCGATTTCCGGCCCGAGTGGAGGATCCGCGGTGAATTTCGCCGACGGGTGCGTAAGCGCGCATGGCGGCGAGCTTGGGCTCTCGGCCTCGAGGAGAGGGCAGCGCAGGCAGGCGAGAGCGAGCGAGTGCATCGGCGCTGCAGCGATTGAAGGTGGGCGGTGGGCGCATGGCGCAGGTCGTGGTCGCCATGGCATGGCGCTGGCAACGACGCCGACGCATGACGCCACGCCGGCGAGAGCGCTCGACGCGGCTGGCGCCACACATGGCGGCGGCGCAAGCCAAGGGAGAAGGAGGCACACACTGGCCGGGCCGAGGCGAGGTGGGCTGGAGCGGCGTGGGGGCTTCGCTGGTGCGCTGGGCCGGCTTTGGCAAAGGGCTGGGCAAAGCATGGCCCGACAAGAGAAAAAAATCCTTTTTTCCAAATATATTTTCAAGGAATTTTTAAATGCCATCTTTCAAATATTATTTTGAGCAAGAAAATGACCTCTTTTGAAAATGTACCAAAAATGAAAGTTGCTTAGAATTTAATTCTCTACAACTTTGCTTTTAGGACCACAGCCAAATTCTTTCTAGATTTTGAATTATAAGATCAAAGTCCACATTTAGCTCAAAACCCTAATTTTGGGAATTTATTTTTGAAGCCAAATTTTGAATTAATTTGAATACAAACATTGCTCCAAAAATTGAACTAAACATTGCTACATGATTTATAATAGTAGCCAAACATGTTTTACTAACCTAGCAAGAAAAATTCAGGGCAAAACAATTCTTAAACAGGTGTATGCAACATTCAGATTTCACGCATGTTTCAAATGTTTCAAAGCAATGTTTCAATTGTTATTCACATGATTAAGCATGTATGATTTGGATGCTTGATGATGCATAATATGCATGATTTGCAGTGCCTAAATGTAGGCATAACACCGGGGTGTTACAAGTGATGACCGGACGCAGCAGCTCAAAGTGACCGGACGCTGAACCCCAACGTCCGATCATTTCCAGTAAGCATCCAGAGACGACTTTTCACGACCGGACGCGTTCGGTCATGCTCGACCAGACTCACCCAGCGTCCGGTCACACGGTGACTCTTCTATGTGCTGCCACGTCAGCAGGACCGGACGCACCCCTCCAGTGTCCGGTCACTAAGTGACCCAGCGTCCGGTCAGAGACCGACGCCAGCGTCTTTGCAGCTTCTACTGACCGGACGCGCCGGTCCAACTGAGGCCAGCGTCTGGTCACTTACAGTGACCTTCGTCTTTTCTGTATAGGACGCCGGTGGCACCATCGGACTGTCCGCAGTCTATGGGCGGACACTCCGCCGGTGAAGTTCCTAACCCTTGCTCAAATGTGCCAACCACCAAGTGTATCACCTTGTGCACATGTGTTAACATATTTTCACAAACATTTTCAAGGGTGTTAGCACTCCACTAGATCCTAAATGCATATGCAATGAGTTAGAGCATCTAGTGGCACTTTGATAACCGCATTCTGATACGAGTTTCACCCCTCTTAATAGTATGACTATCGATCCTAAATGTGAACACACTCACTAAGTGTCTCGATCACCAGAACAAAATGGCTCCTACTATTCATACCTTTGCCTTGAGCCTTTTGTTTTTCTCTTTCTTCTTTTCAATTCCAAGCACTTGATCATCACCATGGCATCGCCATCATCATGTCATGATCTTTGCTTCACCACTTGGAATGTGCTACCTATCTCATGATCACTTGATAAACTAGGTTAGCACTTAGGGATTCATCAATTCACCAAAACTAAACTAGAGCTTTCACCTGGGCCTAGGCCAGCAAAGCCGCCCGCCGCGCGCACCCACCTAGGCCAAATGCTGGCCCATTTGTTCTCAGTTGTTCATCGTGGATCGACGGTCGAGCGCGCTCCTCGGCGGATCAAAACTAGTGCGCGGCATCTCTCCCTGAACCCTAGGTTCATTCGTTTCCCTCCCCTTCCTCTCTCAGCGCAGCGAGCAGCAGGCACCGATCGAAGGCGAGAGGTGATGGCGCCGTCGCTGGCCCCCTCGCCGGCGCGCGCGCTCACCAGCGGGTGAGCGCGCCGCCGTCGAGCGGCCTAGCCGTGGCACCCTTGGCTAGAGCTCGCGCAAGCCCGATGAGCAGCAGCGGCTCGGCCTTCTTCTCGCACGCCGATGAGATGGCAGCGCGGTGCAGCGGCGAGGTAAGCCGTCTCCCAAGCCCTTCCCCTTTCCCCTTCTTCTCTCGCTTGGATCTAGCTCTATTCTTCTTGGATCTTGTCCGATTGGGGTTAGGGTTAGGGTTAGGACGAGTTAGGGTTAGGGTTTGAGTACTGTTCTTCTTCCCCGAGCTTTCTACGCGGGTTAGGGTTATGGTTCGTGTTTCTTTTCAAAACTGATACCCTTTTTTACTCCTTTTCTTTACCCGATTTGGGTTTAGGGTTCGATGAACCCTCTGTTTAGATCCGAAAATGGATCTATCACCTCCTTCTAAATGCTGCTACTCGGTTTTCTACTCTGATAGGCTAGATCTACGCCTAGTTAGGTGACTGATACCATTGCTAGAAACATTACAGGATCACTAGCCATAGATCTAGCGTACCTACTTACATTTGATGAAGTGTAAACCCTAGAACATGTACTAGTATGGAATTAACAGAGAGAGAGCAGGATGCGGGTAGCAAACCATCGGCCGCCTTCGCAGAAGACGAGCTGGCCATCGCGGTGCTCGGTGGAGACTCGGTGGAGGCGCGGCGGTGCAGTGGCGGAGTTGGCCAGTGGCGGTGCTTCCCGTCGCTGGCAACTCCCCCTCACTTAGATCGGTTAGGGTTTAGGGAATGTAGGTGGGGCGTCTGGCGGCTCAGGTGAACCTCGTGCCTTGTGCCTCGGCCCCCACCTCCCTTTTTATGGCGCTGTGCGACGGGGGCCCACCAAGCATGGAACGATTGGGCGCCCCCGATCAGGGTGTGGATCCAAGGGCCCAATTGGCCGGTTGGAGATCATCTAACAATGTTTGCTATGTATATTGCCAACATAAGATACGAGGTTGTGGTAATGTAAAGTTTAGTTGAAACCGTAATCGTAGGAACGCAGAATAGAAGAAATAGCCGCCTTTGAAAACACCACATGCCAAGTCCAGTTGTTTCAACGCTTCATGTTGTAGGCATGATGCTCAAAACATGTCCTATTCTTGAATTCACTATGACCAGCATTGAAGGGCTGTAGTGCACGTTATCATTGTTGCAAAGTTTTTTTTTTGGAACTGTTGCAAAGCTAGTAGCAGTAAGCAAGTACTCTCGCCATGGAAGCAAATAAGGAGGCCGTTCGGCTGGCTGGCTCCGTCACTCACGAAATCACTGTTTATGTCCTGCTAGAACAGTATTTTTCTCTCACAACAATCAGCCGGAACAATATTTTTCAGTTCTGCCGAACATGCCCAAGGCCTGTGAGTGTGAACCAACCAAAGTGCAGAGCATCTCCGCTACTACTGTAGATAGGCAGCGTTCGTGTGTGTGTGAGCTCTGTGTTGACCTGCAATCCTTGCCCTTGCACAACTAAGGCCGGCAGAGCCCTGTGCTATTTTTATCATTGCCAGATATAGATGATGCTGAACTTTTGAACCTAGACGCCTAGTGAATGTCATATGCTGTACATGTACAACAAATCATAGCGTGCTTGGCTAAACCCAATCACTGCAGACATGCACAGCATGAAAAGCAAGATGGATGCCAACAGATCCTCATATGCATGTACAACCATATAGGGTAGAGCACAGCCCTCCACCACCAAATACAAGAGCAGGATCTTATTATGTCCCAACCAATTCAATTCAATCAGATTTACACCAGTGAACTGACAAAAAATCGAAGTGGTGCGGTACATAAGAACATTTTACATCCAACTGTAGATATAGTACGACTTTCTTTACATCGTTGACTCCAAGAAACATGATTCTGTTTAACTAGGTACGAATGGAAGCTTGCGGTACTGTAGGCAACCCCAGCTCATCCTCCTGCAACAAAAGGGAATGAAAAACAAATTATTACTATGGATCCACCATGGAGTTATTATATGCCACTGGAGGCAAGCTCACTGGAAAAGAATCCAACTGTAAGATTTTTCCATGCTCGTAACTATGACAGAGCTGAGCCTAGCTAAGTTGGTCAGATGTGGATGCTCATTCCATCCATGTTCAATTGGAATTCAGGTGTCCCTTTTTCTACCTTATAAACCACCACCCAAAAAAGAGAGAAGATTTTCAGTTTTTTTAATCTCCTCCTTCGTCACATTTTTCTTCTCTGTTGATCACTGGGATAAAGTTGAAACGTGCTCATTTTTTATAGAGATAATAAAATTAAAAAGCATGGACCCATGTTGCAATAGGCTTTGATATTGTTCTAGGAGCTAATTGGTGGTTAGTGCACATGACAAAGATAAAGAAAACCACATAGCTACCATGATGATTATAAATAAAAGCAACACTAAAATCAAAGTATGCAACATCTAACATCATTCTCTTCTCTCACAATAATTCCACTACCTGCTGCTGGTTTGCTGGGACTGCTGCATGGCCAGTTGGTGCAGCAGGTAAGTTGAGTTCAGATTCTTGGTCTGGTTGGAGGTAAGATGGGACTGACTCTGATTCAAAGTCCATGTCAGCTTCCAAAGCATCGAGCTCTGCATTTTCCAAGAAACAAAATGAGGACAGCAGAGAGAGAAATGAGTTTTTTTCCCTTCTTCATAAGCTTTGTAGCAATGTATACAGTTTAAGAAAATATATGGTGTTTGCAAATTATCCTAGAGAAATCAAACTACCAATATGAGTAAACCGTACCCCCCATAAGTTCTTCCTCATCGATATCATCAGGGACGTTGTAGCTTCTGCCAAGAGTTTCTTGTATTTCATTGCTTACATCCATAAGATCCATCATCTCATCTTGCATGCTCTATGGATCATAGGAGGTATAAATTCAGATGCAACATCAATCAAACAGGAAAATAAGCAACAAAGTGGAAGTGCATGTAAGGTGTGAATACTGAAAGCATGAGGAATCTGGTAAGAGTAAGACGGGAGAATGATAAATAGCATACATCAATATCTTCAAGCTTGACAGTCTTCATCATCCCTTTTAGCTCTTTATTGGCAGCCTTCATTGCAGTCATCTGTCCAATGAAAAGCACTTGAATGTAAGCCTATAGAATTCTAGAAGGGAACGTAGCAACAAAAATCAAGGTTTTTGTTAGGTAACTCTGGAGGCATACAGTTTGCTGAGCATCTTTAAGCCCCTCTGCTGCAAAAGCAACTTGGTCAAGGTTATATGTTTGGTTGTAGAGCATATCACGCTGCCCCTCGTACCTGCAATGAAAATATAAAAACAGAGGGTGAAGATAGGAATTAGTATCCATTGACGGATGGAAGATTCTCTAAAATTTATTTTTCTGGAAATCTAAAAGAATGTACTAAAGCGGTGGGTACAAAAGCAATACAATTTTCGCCCAGCCTAGAAGAAATTGTCGCCACTGAACTCCGTCCAGTCATGACGCATTTGATATGTTTGTTGTTTGGAAATTGGCATGACCACACCTCGGGGAATCAATTTATATAGATATTTATTTATACTGGTATGACAGTATAGACTATCTATAGAAATAGGATTAGGATGACTAAAATGTCTGTATCAAGTAAGACACCAGCTGTATGTTTATGGAATGCATTGATTGATTCAGCGTAATCCCAAGCAGTTAACTAAAGGTGAGTAGATGCAAACAAGCATTGAAGGTAGGCTGGGTGGCTCATGTATGGTAAAGTAGTCATCGTAATTCTAGTAATTGGTAATCTACTAGTCGAGAGAGAGCAAGATAAAGGGCAGAGAGGAGGAGGGGACGGGGGGTTGGGGTGGCTCACATCCTGCGCTGCTTGAGGACCCTCATGGCTCGTGCCTTGACGGCCTCCTGCGCGGGGCCTGGGCGCGTCTTCTTGATCTGCTCCTTGTAGCGCGCGAGCTCGGCGTCGAGCTTCTTGATCTTTTCATCGATGGTGTCTCCGCGCTTGGTGATCTGCAAGGAGGAATCGATTTGATTGCTTGATTGATATATATTATGAATGAATCTGCAAGGATTGATATATAATGAAGGAAGGAAGGAACTTGGTTGATGATACGTACTCCGTCGGTTGCGTCCTGGATGGTGGGCGGCGGGTCCTTGTTCTTCTTGGCGCCGAAGATCTTCTTCATGTCGCCGGCAGGCGGGCGGGCGGGCGGCCTTGATTAGCTTGTTGTGTATCGGTTTTGGATGGGATGCGATCCCCAATCCAATTGGCTGATAGTAATACGGCTAATAAAGAAGTTGGAATCGATCGTATCAGGGAAGGGAGAAGAGGAACGCGCAAGAGAAGAGAAGAGATGAGATGAGATGAAGGGAGCAGGACAGAGGAAATTTCCGTGCAGTTAAGTCGGTCAGCTTCGGATCGGAGAGGGGAAATTTCTGGGTCTCCTGTCCTGACCTGACCTCGTCGGGACGCTTCTCTCGTCCAAGCCACACAGTTCCGGCTGGCCGGTGGCCTGATCTGACTTGCAATCTCTAGGAGCAGAAGGAAACCCGGCGTGCGGGAGCAGATGGAGGGCAGCACAGGTTAGTCTCTGACGACACCCCAGGAAATGCGACAAGCTTCGAGGGAGGCCGGCGGGCGAGCGTGCGTTGCAATTGCAATTGCAATCATGGTGTGGTCACGCTCACGCACAACTCCCCCTCACTAAAAATCATAAAAACAATATTAATATTTAATATAATAAAAAATATAACATGATTAATTTAACAATATTTATTTGACATTATAAATACTAATTTATTTTTTTATATATATTTGAAAACTTGGGATTGGTTGAGTAACAATGTTTATTGGGTATCATTAACATTAGTATTTGATTAAACTTAATATTGGTTGACTCCTCGAGACGTGAGATGATATTTATTTTACGACAAGAGACTAGTTATTAACTTATTATATTTTGTTAAGTGTACTTTCACTTATATTATTTTAATTAAATTATCAGTTCTATAATAAATATTAACTGTAACCAACACAGATTAAATATGTAGCTATTTTGTCTATATCTATTCTATTCTGAGATTAGAGGAAAGAAAGGAAAAGAAAAAATAATTTGAGAAAAGACAATAGTAGCGGCAGCCGGCAGGGATGGAAGCTGGGTGGCCCAATAGCCCATTTTTTTTTAGCAACTGGGCCAAGCATTCTAGTGGTCTCGTCTCCATTCACTTCCCTTCCCTGCTACCTGCAGAGTTCAGTTTGTGAGCAAATGAGCAGCGAGGCAATTATATTATACAATAGCCCGTTCGGCTTACCTTATAATTCGCACTATTCAACTTGTTTTTTCCGTTGAAACGTATTTTTTTCTTACAACAATTCAGCCAGAACAGTGTTTTTCAGCCAAGTTTCGACAAGCCGAACTGGCCAATATCTTATTAAGCTAATCATGACTCTAATCATGCATGTGCTTCTTTCATTCCACCTTATCCATATCCATCCCATCCATTGCAGGCAGTTGCAGAAGAATAATCCACTCATAATTTTTTATAGTAATGGTACTGATGATAATATTTTAACAATGACACACGTGATTGTTAGGTGTTTATGATTTTTTTTTGCAAGAATTTTCTGGTGTTTATATTTTTTTTCTCTTCTATCTAATGTGTTCTATTATGAAGATTAACGTGAAGGCTGCTAATTATGGTTAGGAATTTTTTTGACTACAGACATTGTTTATGAGAAATGAAGAATTAAAGTGTAGTTTTGGACCGTGCCTCTGCCAACTGGAACCACATCTTACATATTTCATTTATCATTTAATTAAAAAAAAGGACTAGCAAAACAGAACCACGTCTTATGTAACGCGTAAATTTGACCAAAATATATTAGTATACTAATCAATCACTAAATATGATATAGTAGTCAGATACTCTCCGCGTTATTGTAGCTGGCACGGCAATAATTATAATGATAATAAACAATTAGACAAACCACCAGGCCATCCGTTCCGCGGCACTGCCCATACATACATGTGTAGTACTATGTGAAAAATATTAATTTAGGTTTTAATAGCTATTTTGGTCCCTCGACTATTACTCAAGGCTTAATTTCGTCCTTGAACTTTTAAAATGGACGTTTTAATCCTCAAACTCTACTTTTAGGCTCAATTGTATCCTAAACTATGAAGATGATCGTTTTAGTCCTCAAACATTGCATTTTGGGATCAATTTCATTTATAAACTATCATAGTGTATTTTGTTCTTTAAACTTTTATTTTCAACTCAACTTTATCTGCGTTCTACGTGGAATGCTGCACTAATGCACCTGGTTAGCTCCAACACCACCAGCGATTGGAGATAGAAAATAATATTTATCCAAAAACTCTTTCGTGGCCATTAATAATTCCAAGCTGTTATTTTTAATGTATGGGAGCAACTACAGTTGCATCGAACACTATTTATTCTTTAAGAATACATGGATATATTGAAACAATAGCAGATCTATAATTTTGATAATTTATGTATGAAATCGTGGCTAAAATATAAAGTTTTCTTTTTGAATAGACAAAATTGAGTTGAAAATAAAAAACAAATACATTTTGATAGTTTATGGATGAAATTGAGTCTAAAACTAAAGTTTGAGGACCTAAACGGCCATTTTGAAAGTTTAGGGATGAAATTGGGCCTCAAGTAATAGTTGAGGGACAAAAATAGCTATTGTGCCATTAGGTTATATATTAGATTTAAATTTAATGTGTTTGTGGTTGTCATTAGTAATAAACAACCACAAACATCCGCGGCACTGACTATATTCGTGCATGTGAAAATATTAATTTACATATTAGATTCAAATTTAATGTGATCTCGATTTCTGAGCTTTAACATAGGGTCTGGTATGTCGTATTTTCACATAAGGCCGGTTTTAATGGGAGTTTCACTAGTGTTTTATTTGTATTTAATAGACTGTCACATATGTATTTTTAATGACATGACAACGTTTTAACGAAGAGAGAGAATAATTGAATTTTATGGGGATAAAACTCTCTTGGTACAGTTACTAACTCTCTATGAGTCTTAGAATTAAATATCTATGAAACTATAAAATAAAACTTTCTATTGAAAGTGGATGTTTCATACAAATTTTATTTTATTCTACATGACGTGGCAGTCTTGGAAACAACGAAACGAAACTCTCCACTTATACTAGCCTAATACACATATGACAAGCCGGTACGTTTTTTATTATCGACCAAATTTTATCTACTACAGTAGTATCTTTGTATCGGAGGGAGTACACACCGATGGAGATGGAGCGGGCGAGAAGAAAGGAAATACTGTACTATGGTCAGCAGAGTCACGTGCCTGCTAGTACCAATTACCAAATAGCTCTTTAGTTGTATGGTTCTAGAAAAAATGTCTCTTCCTTGTAAGATATGTTCTTTTCGAACTTTCTTGTATGGCCTCAAAACGAATTTATTTTCCTTATATGGCCTTCTGTTTGGCTGTACCGTTAGTTTCCCTACTGGATGACACGAGAAATGACTGAAATGCCATTCTGCTTTCTTACTTCGTATCCTCTGGTTCCTTTCCGCCGCACCCGACCAGGATCGAGCGGGTTCGAGAAAAAACGACGCCGCCGCGTACATAGGGGAGATGGCCACCGCCACTGTCGGCCCTTCTGCCACCGGATCCGTCGGATCCAGGGCCGGTCGGCCCCTCTCCCATCGCCGACCGGCGAGTTCCACATGGAGGAGGCGCTGCCGCCCAACTGGTAGCGCGAGCGCGGCCAGGGCAGGTCTGGAGGGCCCAGCCCGGCGCCCCATCAGGCGGCCCCTCCAGCGGCAAGCCCGACCAGCCACCAGGCAGCCCCTCCCACAGCCAGTCCGCAGCGAGCGGCCCCTCCCGCACCCAGCCTTGCGCCGCTCTGGGTGGCCCCTCCGGCGTCCAGCAGGTTGAGGCCGCTCGGGTCGAGCACGAGCAGGGTCAGCAATGCATTCACAAAAAAATTCCACTTCATTGATTCGGTCAAAGCATATCTTTCATATGCTCTTCTGCGAGCATCTATCTCTTCATTACCAGTTGTTTTTCAGGTAAAAAATTAAAATTCATTCAGTTTTGCAGCCTGTCCGTTTGGCTGGGCTTGTTTGTTGCTGGTTCGTGAAGAAGTACTGCTGGCTGGTTTGGTGTGAGAGAAAAATACTGTTTCGGCTGGAAATTTACTATCGTTTACGACAAGCACAAGCCAAACGAACAGGCCGTTGGTTTTCATTGTACTTGGTGGTACCGATCATTTCTGAAGAGCGAGCTATCATGCTAATGGGGTGTTTGGTTCCTCCTCCTAAACTTTAGTCGCTGTCCCATCGGATGTTTAGATACATACATGGAGTATTAAATATAGACTAATTACGAAATTAATTGCACAGTTTACGACTAATTTGCGAGACGAATCTTTTAAGCCTAATTAGTCCATGATTTGATAATATGGTGCTACAGTAAACATGTGCTAATGGCGGGTTAATTAGGCTTAATAAATTCGTCTCTGGATTCTGTAATTTGTTTTTTTTATTAGTATCCGAACACCTCATACGACACCTTCATGTGACACCTCCTAAATTTTAGTCACCGGATCCAAACACCCCTAAGTTGATGATTCTTCTTTTATTACAGTATGCTTGCGGTATTTTTTCAGTTCTGTTTTCAGTTCTGTTGCTCCGGTTTAGAGAGAGTCTGAAGGTAAAATTATTATTAAGAGGACTCATGTTTGAAAATATTATTAAGAAGACCAATGGTCTTAGGTGATTATCTTTTTCCTTTATGGAGTCTCAGCAGCATGCATAATGTATGAACAGATACAGTTTGGTCATTGGAGACATCTGGTACATTTATGGTCACGTTTGTTTTTCTTATGATCCATATTTTTTAGCTTGTTTTTTCAGCCGAAACAATATTTTTCTCTCACAACAAACCAGCCGGAACAGTGTTTCGACTTATGTTTGATGTTATTTGACTGATTTTCCAATCAAGATGTTGGAGAAAGTTTGCAAAGATCCCCAAATGCTTACAGATATGTTTGTGAACTATGACTATGATCTTGAGGGACCAAATCTTTTTGAACGCACGGTAATCATATGTTTTCTTTTTCAAATACCCACAAAGCATAGCTTCTGAATTTCTTAGCCTTTTTTTCTTT